TTTTTTTTTTTAAAAAAAAAAAAAGGGAGGGGGGAATGAAGAAAGTGGAAGGAGGCAAGCTGAAAAAAAAAAAAAAAAAAAAAGGAAGCAAAAGTTGAAAACAACAAAAAAGAACCCAGAGTACACTGCAAAAGGCTGCTGGGCCCGGCAGTGGCCCCTTGTAGCCCTTCGAGGGTGTCACGGACTGATGGGAGCCCTGTGCCATGAAACTGTCTTTGTTGGGAAGATAAACAGGAGAAACTGCTTGGGCAACGCTGAGAGCAAGTAAAGGGAAATGATGCTGGGCATTATGCTTCTGGAAATGACAGTAAAATGTCTCACAGAAACTAACTTCTTTCTGGTTCTGTTTCCCCTCCCTACCAAAATGCTGTTTGCCTGGAAAATTGAAACTCAGTTTAAACGCAGGTGACAAGGAAATTGGGATTTTGTAGGAGCTATTACTGCAGCAAGTGCTGACCAAAGGCCATGGAAGAGCTCATGGCTTGGTTGTGTTTGCTTTCAGGCTCCTCCGGGAAAGGTGGAAGAGGTGGTAAAATTTGCTATTGATGCAGGCTACCGCCTCTTTGACTGTGCCTATTTCTACCAGAATGAAAATGAAATAGGTAATGCAATCCAGCAGAAGATCAAGGAGGGGGCTGTGAAACGGGAAGACCTCTTCATTGTCACTAAGGTACAAGGATGCAGGATTATTGGGGCATTTAGCTTTTCTCAGAGAGAAACACTTGTTCCATCTGTGAAGTAATGTAAGGACCTGTTCCCTTCTCTAACATTAACTTCATGGTTGTCTTATTGTGTGATGTAAATTCTATCCTTTATTTGCAATTTGAACAGAGCATTATCAGGAACCATTGACAATTTAGGAAAAGTACCATGACTGTTGCTAATAATCTAATTTCCTTTAATAATTTCCTTGCATCTATTAAGTCACTTAATTATACTGAAGGTTCATTTGCATGCACCCTAGGAAGACAGGAAAAAAAAGACATACGTCCAAATTCAAAGGTGCTTTGATACTTACTGGTGTGCAAGACATTTGAAGATGTTGTCATGTACAAAATGTAAGCCTAAAAGGGAACAGAAATTAAAGTATGGGACTTCAGTCTGAAGTATTTTACATGTATTTACTCAATTTCTTTATCTCATCCACTTATTTCATCAATGCTCTTTACCAAAAATTTAGAACACTTCAACTAAAAAAACCTATGACTTGGGGTTTGCACTAGCAAAACCAGAAAATATTGAATATAACTAAGCCTTTTCACATACTCTTAGTTTTTGTTAAAGAACATATTTTTAGTAATACTTGCATGTTCTTCTATTTAAATGACATGAATTTGCATTTCATAAGTAAAATTGACAACAGTTCTCACTTTGGCCAGCTAAAGGGGAAAAGTAGGGTAGCTATGAGCTGCTCAAGACTCAAAATTTAGGCTGGGGAAAAGAAATTTCTAACACTAACAACTTTGCTGTGTCACTGACGCCTGTCAGAGTGTTACATTTATTTCTGAGAATCTCTTTTCATAAGTACGATTACTGACTGACCACTACTGACTCCCTTTTTTGTGGTATGTTTGTACTACCTTACCATTAAAATAACAGGATCCTTGTCTTCAGCATGCACTGAATACATGGGAAGGGAGTTATCCTCCTAGACCACCAAGGGAGAAGCTTCTGTCCCCTGGTCTGGACTGTAGAAACTGTAAAGTCATGGTTGGACTTGGATTCTTCCCCACAGTTGTGGAACACATTTCACGAGAGGCCCTTGGTTAAGGTAGCATGCAAGAAGAGCCTCGCTGCACTGCAACTGGACTACCTTGACCTCTACCTGATGCACTTCCCTATGGGATTCAAGGTAGTCCTGCTCTACATCTCTCTTCTCCTTATTTGGCTAGAAACGTGATGCAATCTCTCACCCATGCTGTAACCATCTTCACTGGGCAGCTGGGATATGCTGTGGTTTATTTGGCTCTTGCCTGAACCTGGTGGTAGCAAGTGTTCAGCCACTAAGTAAGTAATAGTATGTTTTAGCGTGTGGGTCTGGCTATCCACACCCATTGGAGTGAGATAGTCATAGGTATGAGCACTGTTAATGGGTCCCTGGGCTTCCTTGGGATTGTGATCTGACGGGCCAGAACAGTGTGAACTTCTCAGGTTTTGCAGATTTTGGCTTGATCTGGAGTAACCAACAGTGAAGAGTGAAGCACAGTGTAGAAAGAACATGCTTCTTATACATAGGTGTAGAGTAGGCAAAAAAAAAACAACCCCCTCTAGAATAAAGGTATGGGAATGTCTGTTCCCTTTTATCTAGATCTGCCTAAATTACATAATTACTACTAATTCCCACTCTTTGTATGCAGGGATTAATTTGTAGAAATTTGGCCCTCGTCCAAAAGAGAATACTGATGAATATGCCTAAATTTTAGTTATGCAATATGCTTAAATAACCTGCTACCTTGTTGCCTATAAATCCAGTCAGAAGTGCTAGTAGACAGTAGGAAATTCAGCTGTTTAAAAAAGTCTTATGTGTTATCTGCCTTGAAATAACAGGCTGGTGAAGAACTGCATCCTGTGGATGACAAGGGTATGAGTATTCCCAGTGATGCAGATTTTCTGGACACATGGGAGGTAAGTTAATGTTTGCTTTTTAGAACAGGTGCCAGCACTAAAGATGGAGCAGAGATCAGTGTGCATGATGAAATTAAGAGATAGGTTTGGTTACAGAGGATAGTCACACAAAATTGTATTTCATGACCAGTATGAGCAGAGCTGCAGCTGCCTCTTGTTTTTGGGAGGAAGAGGGTAATGTCTTTACTAAGACTAAATGGGAGGTGCTGTCTCTAAAATAATATCTGAATACACACAATGATGGAACCGAAGCATAGATTAATTCAGGTGTGGCTGTTAATTTGTGTTTCATAAGGTAGGGAATTCTCTCACTTTTCAGTGTTGGGCATCAGCATCTCAGGCTGAACTTCAATCCTCCTTTCCTTGTGGACTGAGAAGATTCAGGGTCTGCACCTCCTACCTGCACCTCTGTGATGCTGCAGCTCTGGGAATTTCTCTACAGTAGCTCTACAATAGCAGATTACAGTTGCAAGAAAGTATTTTGAGGTAATTGACCTTAAGATAACATCCTCCCTGCTGTGTTCTGCCACCTTGGAGGTAGTGTGCAGACAGGGGAGAAGATGGGAGGTGTTTCCTTTGCTTTTTTAGCTCTGGTAAAATGACCCCCCAAGGAGGCCAAAGCTAAAGAAATTCACTTCCCTCTACAAAAGGCTTGGCCAAGCCATTCTTACATTACGTTCCCATCTGCAATGGGTCATAAAACATACAGTAATAAAAGTATAAGTTTTGCAACTTGTAATTGTTTGAGATACTGTTATTTAAACCAAGTGTGAGTTGTTTGTTGGTTTATCACTAGCTTTAGTGAAATAAAATAATGTAGTTGACAGTAATACTACCTCATAAACATGGCATTGGTTGTCCTTATTAGGCCATGGAAGAGCTGGTGGACTGTGGCCTGGTAAAAGCCATTGGTATCTCCAACTTTAACCATGAGCAGATTGAAAGAATCTTGAACAAGCCGGCACTGAAATACAAGCCGGTAAATAACCAGGTAAGAATTTTATTTCCACTGGTATCATCTAACCTTGTAATATTCCTAAATATATTCATGCTCCACTTCAGTTCTAAAACTGACTTCTGCCATGACCTTTAAATAGTTTTGGTGCCATGGAAAGATCTCGCAAAGCACGTTATTTCTGGTTGTCTGAAAGACCCTTCAAGTCAGTGCTGCCTGCGATATGCAAGGCTTCGGTACAGTGTCAGTCTTGATGGTTTTTAGCTGACAGGGATCTCAACTGAACAATTTTTTTTAGACTTGCATGTATATAATGCAGTGGAGATTTGAGAGCAGTATCATACAAAACAGTATAGATTATGCATATCACAGTAATATGAAACAGATTAGAATAGTTTTAGACACTGGAAAACTGAAAATAGCCATTACCTTGTATAAGACCTTGTGACTTTCTAATACACATCCTATTTCACTACTTGGACTTTGATGTCACAGCCCAAGTTGCCACAGGTCCATTTCTGCCAGCCATGGGATAACCAGTAAAATCCTTACTGCACGCTACTGCACAGTTATGGGTATGTACACAAATGCTCTAACTCGTTCACTGGACTTGCTTATTTTTCAACATAAAATAAACCATTTCAGTGAACTTCATTATAAAAAGGAGGGTTGACAGATTCTCACTATGTACCTCATGAATGAAATCACAGGACAGCAGGGGCATCAGGAACTTATGACTTTCTTCCATATGTGACTTTACACTCAGCTGAAGGTGCTTAATTCTCATCTCTGCTGATTTAGGAATATCCTGAGAAATCCCCATGCAGGAACAGTGCTGCCAGTCCTGCAGTGCCAGGCTTGGGGCTAGTGTGTGCACCGGCCAGGCTTAGCACAAGGGATTTTACTTAAAACTGTCAGGTTTTAAAGTTCTGGTGGGGATGGACCCAACTACACCCAAGTTAAAAGCTGTGCCAGCTTCAGCAGTTAAAGAACTTCAGGCTTTGACTCCAGTTTGCTTCTGCATGGGTGTTCCTGTGTCACACACTGTCATTACAGCAATTGTCTAATCGAGCTCAGACCTAAATGAACTACTGTACGTGAATTTCATGTCACCATGCCTGGTAGCAAAGCATTTAGAAACAGCTGGGTATGTGCATGGTGCCACATTATGCAGGGTACATGTCATGGTCATACCATGGCTTGTGGCAAGTTGAGCAGCATCCCTGTGTAGGCTCTTGTTGTTTCCGGTTAAAAGACACCTTGCCTGAATGGCTGGTCACAATATGATCTGAGCTAACCTAGGGAAGCTCATCTCACCAGGCTTCTTCAGGAATCAGGGACACTCCCTGAGGAGAGGAGAGCTTGAGTGACTCGGAGCAGAAACTAAACTTCAGGTATTCTGAGCTGCCCCTCTGAAGATGCAATCCTGCTCTGCAGTAGTCCAGGAAGACTGATCTCCCTGATTCCTGACAGCACTTTTGACTCTTCTCATCTATTTCTCACTAACTTTGTGTGATATGTAGCAGGAGCTACATATGCTAGGGCTCTAGATACTGCTGTGACATGAATAACTTTTTTTATGAGACAGATTTTAATCTTGATATTGGGAGTCTTCACATTTCTGTGACACGAGAGGAATTAAAATGTTACGCTCTGAGCCCAGTGCAGTCTGCCTCTGTATCAGCCACCATGATTCTGTGCTTGCAGATTGAATGTCATCCATACCTAACCCAGGAAAAGTTGATCCAGTACTGTAAATCCAAAGGGATTGCTGTGACTGCGTACAGCCCCCTTGGTTCTCCTAACCGCCCATGGTAAGAAAGCATTGCAGCCTTTCTGTATACAAAACAATGCATTTGCAACTCGAATCTTTGAGGCAAGTGATGTAAATAATACAGGTATAATGAGAAAAGTGCTGTTGTAGATTATTTCACACAAAATGTCAGGCTTCCTGCAGGGAAGCTGATATCTTTCTGCCATCAATACCTTGGCTTTTGTTTTTAATAGGGCCAAGCCAGGGGAGCCTGTGCTGCTGGATGATCCCAGGATTAAAGAGATTGCAGTTAGACATTATAAAAGCCCTGCACAGGTAAGCAGGGTTGTCAGGGCAAACTATTCCTCCTCCTGAGACATTTTTACAGGCTGATAGCTGGTTTTAGCAGATGCTGTGTTCTCTAGAGATACAGTATAAGGGGGCTGAACTGCACTTAGCTCTTGATACTGCCCCAGCATTTATACAAATTGTGTTATTTTCTAAGATGTCTTAAGTGCAGGCTTGGCGGGGCGGCGGCACTGATGAGCAGTGGTACATGCTTACCTTAGGTGTTCCCCTTCCTAGGGAGATTTCTTCCACTCCCAGAGAGAAGTGCTTGCTCCTGGAGAACCCCTTTCCTCTGAGGTTTACTTAGAAGTCATCAAGCCAATTTGTAATTCTTTTCTCTAGCTATGTTATTCTTCAGAAAAGTCCCGTAGTTTGCAGACTTACTTGATTGCTCCCTTATTGCTTGTGTTCACAGAGAATCCTTGAAAGTTGCTTGATTATTCAAGGTGAAATTTTTTATTAGTTACTAGTCACACAACTGAATTCTTGCCCATGGTGTGCAGAAACTGCACTTCAAACAAACCCACATGTTCACAGTCAATCAGCCACAGTCATATTTTAAGATGGGCAGAGCAGGATAAAAAATCATATAAACCAGTGCTCTTTTAAGGGGGGAAAGCTTTTAAAAGTCTGTAAATATATTTTTCCTTTTAAGGACTTCAAAAAGCTTAACCTAGGTGAAGTACTTACCTGTGAGCCCAAATTAATCTACATCATTATGCTTATTTGGTCTGAGCAGCCATATAATGCAAGCCAGAAGTATCATCAATTCTATCTCCCTCTCCTAACATAAATGAAAACAAACCAAATCATGGAGAAGCCAGGATATAGAAACAACATAGGCTAGAAACAATTATAGTTTGTCAGTAGACTGCAAGTAAATGCTGGCACATCAAACTCCTGTGTGCAAACTGGTAGAGTCTTGCAAAGAGTGAATATTGTTGTAGAAAAAGAAATTGGCTTGGGGGGGGGGGGGGGGG